CACCTCTACTTCATTGGGGCGAAACTTCACTCACTGCTGCTCCTCCAACTGAAGACCCATCGCGATGAGCTCCGTCACATGCATATCCTCCCGCACAGCGCCCACTACCTCGATTCCCGCTTCCTCCCACGCTGCCGCCTCCTCCGCCAGCTCCCGTCGCACATGAGCGAGGTGATCATCCTTCTTGGCACTCTGGAACGGATTTGGCATCGCGCTATCCCTGTCCCATGCCTCCGCCATCTGCCTCCATACCTCCACTGTATTTGGCGCAAAGGAACACTCCAAGTTCGACAACACCTCCCGTGTGGCAACCATCATAGGCACCGCATCCAGCGTTCGCTCCAGCATCATCTTTCCTGCGCAGCGCATTAGCAAGCAGCCCGTTCCCCATTCTCATACGACTCACCCATACCCATACCGACAATCTTCTTGAAGTTCCAGTTGCCAAAATGATCATTAAGGGTGTCCCGACGCGCACCCAGGCACATTTCCTTCGTACTGGCTGCCAGCGGGTTCGTGTTCGCCCACCCGCGCTCAGGTGCCTCCCCGTCCGTCAAACCCATGAAACGCGTCAGGTTAAATGAGAACATGAGATTACACGCCTCGATGTGAGCCGGTAGATGGAATTTGGGGATGAGGAATGTCATTAACTTCTCGTGCCCGTTCACCATGAGATCCGCATTCCTGTAGGCCGTCATGCGATTCCAGATATTGATGTACCACTGGCACGCGATGTCGTAGGACACAAAGAATTGTATGACCTCAGTGCCAGCGATGCTCTTGAAAAACATATAATCCATATTCAAATATCTGTGCAAAGCATTAGCGAAGCGTTGCCTGCTCCTTGTACTTGGCGCCCACAAACCTTTCTCCCAGCTGCAGATCGCCCACCGCGTTCGGCCGCTTCATGTTATGGCGTGCACAGTCTACTGCTCCTATTCCCGACGATGCTGTTCCGCATGCTTCCCGGTCAGGCTTATCCACCGCATCATGCGCCACACAGTGACTTCTCTAAACCATCGTTAGCCATGCGCATCTCACCCCCAAAAGCATTGCCTCACCTCCTGCTTCCAATTTGCCTTGACATGCGCCATGTAGGCCTTGACCTCGCAGAAGAACCCCCACCCCTTCCCTAACCCCGGGTCTTTTTCCTCCTACGACACGTCCTTCCGCTTGAGTCGAAAGTTTGCATGGCGGGGGCCGCATGCAATCTTGTTTGGGATAGTGATTGGCGAGACATCTGTTTTGGGATTCAGGAAATTGGAATTTGGTAGTATATGAAAGGGCTGCCTAGATGTAAACAAAGTGATGGCGCCCAAACGTTGGACAACAGCAGAGCAACGGGAATATCTGGAGCTGAAAATGCCTGAATACATGGCGTGGAAGGAGGAGAAAAAGCTTTACCGCTTCTGGGCGGCACTGTGGGAGGATTGGGTGGTGCATTTCCCTGGCGAGCAAACGTACGTTGGCCGGTTTATTGAGGGGAGCGAGGCACGTCAGCTGGAAAAAAAGGTAAGTCGAACTCATTGATTGGTATCCTGCAGACTCACTAGTCGGCGTTGCAGCGATTGGTTTCCTGGTTCAGATGCGCCAGTGCGCGTGCACGTAGGCTGTAGATCAGCACCGCATGCACGCATAAGCGGTTGTTTGGAAGGGTGATTGGCAAAGATGATTGAGCCATGTGTTTTATGCGTACTCCGGGTGTTTCTTGCCACGAACTATCTCTTTTGCTGGGAGTCTATCTTGCCACGAACGATGGTGCCTAAACGCTGGACAACTCAGGTGCAACGCGCGTATCTGGACCTGCAGATGCCTGACTACATTAGTCGCCGCTCGAACAAAAAGATGCATCTATTTTGGCCTACCTTGTGGGACGGGTGGTTTTTTCGCTGGGCTGAAAGGACGGCAATGGGTTTTCCGCCGGCCAACACGCCCAACTTGCCGCCTCTGACTGCAGACGAAGTGGCCGCACTGGGGGACGCAATTGTCGCGCGAAAGAAGGTTCATGGCGCGCAAGGCTACCATGGGCTTCCGCTGACGAAATTGGTATCTAGCAATTGGCGAGCTGGTTCAGACGAGACTACAAGCTCATCAAAGCGGGACCTACGGGTTCGGGGAAGGGAAAGCAACAGCAGCTGACACCGTTGGCAGCGGCATTGTTGAAGAAGACTCGCGCAGGAAGCAAGCGGGCACATAAGCCTGAGGAGCTGTTCCAGAAGTGACATCACGCGAAGATACGCAAGATGTTGTCGGCGCGCGGCTTCGACAAGCTAAATGAGGCAGCGCGAGTGGACGGGCGCGAAAGTGATGTGGAGGAGACGCTGGAGGAGCAGGAAAAGTACATCAAGGCGGGGAGGTCGGAGAGGATGCGGATGAGATCCGGGGTCGTATCTGAGTTGTGGGCGCAGGGGACGGAGGAGGAACACGATGAGATGCGGAGCGAAGTGGAGCGGGAGAAAGAGGCGCTTCAGCATGCGGAGCGGGAGGCAGAAGCACAGAGAGGGATGTGAGAGGGAAACACGCCAGACGAGTTTGGCTGGTAAGTGCTCTCGCTCGCGGCGTAAATGCATGACTCATGGCAGTCGTGCAGGGGAGTGGATGGATTGGACGCACTGTTTGGGGAGGCCATGCATCTGTGCGACATGACGGCGGGGTGGTCCGGGTTTGTGGTCGTCGGCGGACCCACCCCCTGCCTCGGTGGGGTCTTGACGATGAAAGTGTGAGTTGTCCCGATTGGGACATGTCGGTATTTGCGCATATTGACACTGGTGGGCGCAGAATCTCCGTGGGTGAAAACCATCAAGGCTTCAAGTTCGACCAAGGATGTGGGGAGTTCGAGGAGCAGATCATGAAGCACTTCGAGCACTTTTTGATGACATCTTACTGTGAGTTATCACCTCTTTTTGAGGATGGCATGCAATTGCTAACAGTTTTCCCAGCTTTCGAGGAGCGCGATGCGCGAGCGATCAAGAAGGCTATGGTCACGGAACCCTCCAGCGAACTGGACGATGGAGACGTATCGGACGAGTCGTCACCGCCTGCGAAACCCAGACGAGTTCCAAAGCCCAAAGGCAAGAAGAAAGTCGCGAAGAAAGTCGCTGGTAAAAGCAAGACCGCATCTGCGGCTTCGACATCTAAGGCTACACTACCTGCACCGCCTGGCATTCCCTCGTCTACCTCAGCACCAGCACTGGATCACGGCTCACTTGGTTCTACCCCCACCCCTTTCCTCGTCAATCCTGACTCTACGCGCATCCCTTTCTTCGACAATCCACCACCAAGTGGCACTGCGCCGTTGTTCGAGCCTCCCGCTTCTCCGGTTGCAGCGTCGCACCTGGAGACGGGATGGGAATCGCCATCCGCATTGGCTCTAGCGTGGAGCACCTCTGACGCAGCACGCGGGCCCGGATTGCCGTTGGCGTTCGGAGGAGCGCTGAGCACTGAATTCACGGCCGGGGCAGCGTCTGTCGTTCCCTTCACGTCGGTGTTCGCTCCCAGGGCCATGGTGGCGCCCATTGACTGGGGCCTGGATGACCAGGGGAAGGAGGGCGAGCAGGACGAGTCATTCGTGGATGAGGAGGTGCCAAGGGGATCGATCGTGGATGAGGAGGTGGCAGGAGGATCGCAGGCGTGGTGGGAGTCAGCAGCTGCGAGCATTTGGGGCCGGGCAATCGGGAGTGCATGTGCGGAGGGGGCAGCGCCCTCAGAGACTCCGACAGTATCAATGGGCGTGGCAGCGGGCGGAGAGGCTGTGCCGCGACCAGCAGCTCGTCCATGCTTCAGCGGCGCTGCGTTCCCCAATTCGAATGCGCCGGCAAACGAGGGGCGGGCGCGGTCGGCCTTCAAGCCGAGCATCTTGCTCAAGGCGCTAGGAAGCGGGCCCAGGAACAGTTCCGAGAGCTCGACGACACCTTTGGTGCCTGGGACGCCGCCCAGTGTCAGGCGGAAAACGGTGGCGTGCAGCGGGGCTTGCTGGTTTCGGGAGCGGGAGTGTGACAGCGCGTACGATGGCGACGATCATTGGTGCAGATGGGGGGACGCAGATCTTCATGCCCGCTACCACTCCCGAGCGCGCCATCCCCACAACCGCAGCGCATGCCACCGCTGAAGTCGAGGCGGCCCTGCCTCCCGAGGTAGAGATGCTGCGGTCGCGCCCCGCGGCCAAGATGCCTGCAGCGCCTAAGGTCCCTGGGGCGAAGGCCGCCGCCGAGCGAGGCGGTGCAGAGACAGTGCTCAAGAGGCCGAGAGGACGCAGTGGGGAGCAGTGCCCACACAGCAGAGAGCAGCACCGACGCCGCAGGCAGCGGCGCCCTGTTGGATGCCACGAATCAAGACGCAGACACGGCTCCGACCCTGATATTTGGGATGCCCGGCAACAACACCATGCGCTTCAACAGAGAAGTGGAGGAACGGCAGAAGGTGGCGGTGGCGGCGAAGGAGGCAGAGAAGAAGGCGGCGGCGGCGAGGGGCTATTATGAGCTCCCCAATCCCAACGGCGACACACCAACGATTGTGTTCCCACGGCAACGCAGGGCGGCTCTCATGGCGGACGGCACGTCAGCCTCCATTCCGAAGAAGGCAGCGCCGGTGAAGAGGAAAAACCCCCACGCGGAATCGGAGACGGCACTGCTGAAGAGGACTGCGGCGGGGACTAAGAGGAAAAACGCGGGGGCGGCGGGTAAGCCCGCAAAAAGGTATGTGCGCGCACCGGCACTGCGTCAATTCTGTTCTGACAAAATTCCAGGGCAAAGGCCTAAAGCCTGATATGTTTTGAGTGGTCCCTCAACGGACGAGACAAAGCCGACCGCTGCTCAACCAGCGTGTTTGGATATGGGGAGGTCGCTCAACGGAGGCCTCGGCGCTGCTCAACCAGCGGTAGCGAAGGAAGATGAGGGACTTGTAGTTTTTCTGTAGTTAGCCGGACTTGTCATTTTTTTATTATTGATGTTTCTGTGTTATTGAGGTCGCGATAAAGTGGCACAGGGAACTTACCCGCTATCCCTCTGATGGCTCAGTTGGTTAGAGCTCCAGATATATGTGTTGTTACCACATTATCTGGTGGCGTGAGTTCGATTCTCACTCGAAGCATTGAGTTGCTATCCGGAATGCCTTTTTTGTTGTTGTTCTGTTGTGTCGATTTGGACTTGGCTTTTTATTTCTGAAGGCTTATTTTATACATTTTCTTTTTACAGTGGACACAACTATTTATTTGGGGAAGAAAGTAGTGTAACAAAAGTGTAAGTCAAGTCGAGGGGTGGCGCGTTTGATGGGCCATCAGGGAAAGGCCCAAATGGGAAGCCGCATGGTCACGGCAAATGCCGGGATTTTATTATTATATTCATTATATTCATTATATTCATTATAGCGGTGGATTCTGAAGAACCGGACGTGTTTTCTCAACAGAAGCAAAAAGGTACAAGGTGGGGCGAGGAAATCCTCGCACGGCAAGTGCCGAGCACATTTTGATTTTGATTTATTCTATATATATGCAGGTTGGATTTACAGGGAGAGAGAAATAAGGGGAGAGGACATATCATATACATCCAAGAGGGTGTGGAATCGCGGGCTGCGATCCAGACCGAGCGGGCAAGAAGGAGGGCGGGCATGGCAAATAAAAGCGGCGGGCGGCGCGCGCAGGGGTGGGGGGGGGCGCCTGAGACGCAGTGTGGAAGATATAAGGAGGGGTAGGGGAAATACTGTAGATATGTGGCCGGCTTGCGCTGCACAAGCCGGCACCGTAAATAAAAGCGGTGGGCGGGCGGATAGGCCGCGGAGCGGGCCGTGGAAACAATAATCGGGTGGTTGGTGGCAAAATACGCGTGAAGACGAAGCAAGGATGGGTGCAGGCGCGCCCAAAAGCGGGGAGGGGGGACCCAGAATGCAGGCGGCGTGGAGCGGCACGCTGTGCCGTAAAGTGTACGAGCAGGTGGGTAAGAGGCGGCGCTATAAGAAGGGCGCAAGATGAGGGAAGCGGAGGGCTGGGGCAGCGGGCAGGGGGCAGCAATATGAGGCGCAGGAGGATGATGACCATTGATGGCTAACACGTATAAATACCGACCGAGCCCCGCCACGCAAACCCAATTGGGAAGCCCGTCCCGCAGACGTTTAAAATAGAATGATGGAGCAGGAGGCGGGTTGATGCCTCCATGCACTGTTGCAGAGCCTGTGGTGATTGATCATGGCGTACGGACAGCGGTAGGTTTTGATTAATCACAACGCATGGCCCAACACCAGTCCGTGATCAATCATTTCCCCACCTACGCCTGTAAATTCACACTGAATAATTGCAGGGTACTGTGTAAGTACATATTTTCCCACAAAATGAGCAGCAGAATTTTCCGAGCTATGAGTATAATGTCCCACCTTGAACTTCAAGTATCTGATTGCAATCACACACAATACTCAATTTTGCACACATGGGGGCTGCCTCTGGGTGACCATTTGGCATAATCCAGCAGTTGCCTGAGGATCACACAACCCCCAATATTTTTGTATAAGGTCAGTGACTAATATACATTGTATGAACTGGAGAGATAGTTTGGTGTAGGCATTGATTGTTGCATAAATCCAGGAAACTCTTAGCTTCTCGGATGACATGTGGATGAGTGTCATTCCACAGAGGGCGAAAGGGTATTCCTCTCTTTTATTCCTTTAGCTCTACCGCGGCGAGTCGAGAGATTGCGTCCGTGAGCTCAGCTACGGGGGTATTGGGAGGTCCAGGGACGAAAATATACATTAGCGCATGTATGTTAGATAATTCCTGGAAACCGGCGTTCCTAAGCGGGACCGGCCGTGTAATACTACCTACCTACCTACCTACCTCCCTACCTATAAGCCTCTTTGGTATTTTATGCTAGTAGCTCGGTGGCATTTCAACTCTTTGGTGGCTTCATTCAAGGCATGCCACCATGTGTGGGCATTGAGTTCAAATGGATGATAGTGAGAGACTTGAGATACCAATACAGGCTTTTGCATGGAAAAAAATGCGTCTCAGATTCAAAATGACATGCTCATGCCCGCTGCCCACTGTACAAATAACGCGACAAGAGTTTGACGCGTAGGTCACGTGATTTACTGAGGATATTTTGATGGACCCAATCGGGCACGCAAATTTAAATCCAATCCAAAGCAGGCGGGGCTCTTTCTCAGATATTTCAACATTCTGGCCAGAGCAGAGCACCAGGGCCGTCTGTACACCATCAAAAATCTTAATATTGGTGTACATACTAGACTAATGAATGGACGCTCTTTTTTTGCCTTAGAGGCAAGCCTTATCACAACTGCTGGTTCGAAGCTCCTGGTCTTCGGGGTCCATTGATTGGTAAACACATGCCATCAACCGGCATCACTGCCGGATCTCGCTAAAAAAGCGTGATGCTCCGGGTTTCCATACCAGAACCTCCCACTACAGCGTTACGCTTCCGCAGCCGAATCTCCAGGAGCAGCGTCGAGGAGAGAGGAGTCGCGCGCGAGAAGAGAGAGGCGGGGACACGTGGTCATTGATCTTGCATTGCTCGCTAAAATTAACAGGCAACAACAATTTGCTGAGCTTTCTTCTCGTTTCGACGACGTTCATGTCCAGGTTCATTCTGCCCCAGGCGGTTTTGCACTCCACAGTTTCGTTATCATTCCCCGCAGTTCTCCAAATACTGTTCTTTACTGTCGACGTCCGGGTGCCAATTTCTTGTGGTTCCCCCTTCCTCCTCAAAAACTCTGGAGCATCTCGTACCGACGTTGTTCGTGTCATCACGCACTCTATCCAGGTTCTTTCGTCTTTTCCAGCCTACATTATGTTCTGCCTGTCTCCTGCTTCTCCTTCAAGTCCTACTTCCTCGACCACTGTATCTGTATCGCATCTCTCATACGCAAGGACGCGAGCTTCTCTTAGTGGTTTTAGGTCTGGTCCACTCGCAGTCAAAATGAGCTACCAAAAATTGACCGTCTCCCGTTGGTTTCCCTCAAACATCCAATAATCCGAGGCATTAGTCCAATTCGACTAGACTCCTGTCTGTACGACGAATTAACCGCAATTTGTCCTACTCGATCACAACGCCGCATCTCTGAGCAAGCGGCTCCCTTCATTTCATCTTTTCTCGCCGAGTTTTTCCCTCTCACCTGCGCTACCGCTGGACTTTTTATAAGTTTCATGTTGGGCCGTCTGCAGGTGGGGCTTCGGTCTTTCTTCTTTCGCCTCCGACTCTTCATCAGCTTAGTTCTATTCCCGCAGGCTTTTTTTGACGTCTTTATCCAGACCACCGGGGTTCTCGAGCACACAGCCTTCGTCAAGGTTTATGCCGCCCAAGATTCAATTCGCAGTTCAAGTCCAACTTGCTGAATAATGTGGTACATTTTACAATTTTACTTAGACTCCAAGTCCGTGCACCCTCCAACGCTCCGATAACCCCCCATTTTCAAATCGGTCCACCAAACCGAAAGGCTAAAATCGTCAGGATGTGGGAATAACTTGAAGGCAGTTTCACACATGCTTTGCCGCCGAAGGACATGGGCAGAAATGATATCCATTTCCCAGGCTCACCACTAGGCCGCTCTTGCATCCTGGATACCAGGGCGCTATGCCCCCGCCCACCGTTATTTATCCATTGTAATTCATTTGTAGGTTCAAATATCCACTAGAACGATGCGACATCGTCTTACAGTACCTCGCAGGATTCCCGTTTATCTACAGTGTCGAAGTCTATTTCGATGATTACTCACCCAGGCATGCGTGGCTCCTTGGTCGTGGAACAGAAGAATTTCGGAATTTCCGCGTTGCATTTCAGACTCAACTTTGGAGCTGTGGGTATGCGCCTCATACAGCTCGTACCATGCCCATGCACCGATCAGTATTAATATTGTCACAGTAAATTCCGCACAGAGCTCGGCCTTTCGCCCGGGTATTCATGCGACATGCCCACGTTGGTGCATGTACGCCGTCCCTTTGTTCCACAGAGCTGAACCTTCAAAGCACGTTCAAATACCCATGCATGTACTCACTTCTTCCATTGGGGATCACAGGCCTAATTCCGCAGTCGCGAATCACACAAAAGTTTGTAATTTATGCAAGGCACAATATTTCAATTCCCTATGGAAATTGATTGTCTATTGTCGCTCACTGCTTATATTCATAATGGGCTGCATAAATCCAAATTCTATGCCAAGGTCAAAACCGGAATTGAAACCCACTCTGTATGTACTAGTCTCCTACTCGCACCTCAGCTCTGTAGGCGACACCCACCCCTTTTGCTCTTTCATTGTTCCTCGCAAGCGTCGTAGCATTGTATCCCTCAATAGTACATGTTACTCCCAGATAAAATACTGCCAGCTCGTGATTTCACTACTACTGCATGTTCAATTGGAAAGAAATAGCATAATGTGGTACTTAAGATACAGTAAAAATCCTCCTTCCCCAGAAGCACCCCACGGTCACGGTTCTCGAATACTTGGATGGTTGCCCGACCTACATGGCACGAGTGTCAATAGTCAAGAACCTCGGAAGGCCCCGCCCATCAATTCCGGATTTTCAGGGTTCGAAGCGTCCGATGTGCTAGAGACTGCAGTCTCGCTCTAAACCTTGGAGTGCGCAGAGCATGAAGCGATGTCGAGGCCGGATCCTCACAGACTTCCGAAGCTACTTCTTCAACTATTCATTTGAAACAAGTCAGAGTCGGACAAGAAATTATGCTGAGACTCACTATGCGCACTGTCAACGCCCGGGCTAGAAAGCTCATAAGGGGATTTTCCAAGGTGTCGGGCGAGGTCTTGACTGTTGGGATCGAATCCCTTGGCCGCATGGAAGCGGCTGAGTGCTGCATAGACACTTTCATCCCAAGATGTCACCGAAACCAACATCTCAAATTTCAGAGTGGGAAAGCCAAGACTGGACGCCTCCTCTGGACTGAGACTCTGGCTTCCAGATGGGTCGAGGGACCAATAGGCTGGAAATTCTGGACTCCGAAGCCATCTGCTGCCATCGTCCCGGAGATCCTCCATTGGACAAAGGAAAAGGTAGCCTTCCGGGAGTTTTTCTGAAGGACCTGAGAATGATAATTGATACTGCATCCAATCTATGAGGGCTGTTGTGCAGAATT